ATATATATATATATATATGATCACTCGTTTCATGATATATATATTTGTTGTTCTAGATTGGCACGGATATCCAAGATAACAAGTGCAGCTGGCTGGTGGTTCAAGCGCTCGCGCGTGCGTCGGACGCCCAACGCGCCACCCTCAAGGAGCACTACGGCAAGAACGACGCCAGCTCCATCCAACTGGTCAAGGACTTGTATGTGGCGCTCGACTTGGAGGGCGTGTACCGCGCGTACGAGAACGACAGCTACGACACGCTGTGCAAGCTCATTGGCGGCGTCACCAACATGCCCACGACCGTGTACCACATGCTCCTCAGCAAGATTTACAAGCGCACCATGTAAAGCATACTTACTACTCGAGAGAAATAGAACAAAGCGGCCAACGCTATCGATCCAAGATCTCAGTTGTGCAAGTTACAGTAGTGGAAAAGCAAACGTTCGAGAGGACACTGTACATTTTTCACCTTTTATGTGGTCCTTTGTTGCTCAGAAAATGAGACTCTCTTGTATTGGGCCAAACTGCTGGGCCAAACTATACTATTCGATGATTGGATGAAATTTCGCGATAACGGTAGTGCTCTTTGATTGGCTAGGACATTTGCCCAGTTGATTCGAAAGTATGGTGCATTTCATCTAAAGACTACAAAAAAATGCCTTGTCTTTCGAGAGCTATTCCAACTTTGTATTGATATATTTTAGGAAAATAAGCCGTAAGAACGATAGAACTGGACAAGGCCAACAGTAGTTGCGGTTCAAATTTTCGATTGGTGAAAAATTGATCGAGTAATAGAATTTACACCAACCAGCCTTTTTGTATGGAAATATATGCCGAAAAGGAGCATCAAGTATATCTTGGTCTTTGTATCCAGCACTTATCCGTATGAAGGTTTCCATTGTATCCGGATTATTCAGGACGTTTAACCTAATTACCAGTTAAACAAAACGTAACAAAAAATGATTTAACGTCAAAAATACGTTGGTTTAACTGAAAGACCGAGGCGTTTAAACTAAAACGTCTCCTCGTAATAGTATACGTAGCGAATCAAAAACCTCAATCGGCGGATTTTTAGCCAATGAGATGTGTGTTTGCAATACCCTCGTTTTTCGAAAATACCTTCCTTGTTCAATCAATATTGTTGGATTCATTCGGTCTCTTCTGTCTACCACTTGGACCGCAAGTCGTTGGTGAAGAGCGAGACGAGGTCGACCCATGCGTCGACGTGCGGGTGCTTCTTCAAGATGTCCTTGCCGACGACCTTGATGCGGTCGAACGCGGCCGTGTCGTCCTTGGAGGGCTTGGACCCGTTCAAAAAGTTGCCTTGATGGGCCTTCAATCGCGCTTCCAGCGCCTCCAGTGAAAAGTCGGCTGCCGTCGCTGCCGCCGCCACTTTCGCCACCTGTTCGTCCGGCTTCATGGCAGGGAACAGCAGCACTTCCTTGATGTTGAACTTGTTCGTCAAGAACATTGCAATGCGATCCACGCCGCAGCCCCAGCCGCCCGTGGGGGGGAGGCCGTACTCCATGGCTGTGCAAAACGCCTGGAAATAATATGAGACGTCAAACCATCACAACTTGCTGTACCTCGTCGTGGGGTTGCGCTTCGTCGTCGCCGTCGGCGGCCTGCTTGGCTTGTTCCGTGAAACGTTCGCGTTGCACCCTAGTATGACGTCGTTAACGCTTGTTTTGTTTGACGGGGCGCATCATTATTGAGCACATACACGGGGTTGTTAAGTTCCGTGTACGCGTTGCAAATTTCCGAGCCGGCGAAAAACATTTCAAAGCGTTCCGTCAACCCGGGCAACGACCGATGGTACTTGGCCAACGGCGACATTTCCGTCGGGTGGTCCATGATGAAGAACGGTTTGGTCCAATTCGCCTGCAATCATACAAAACTTAATCGAGGATGGGAGCCGCGGAATACAAAACAGATCTTATCGGCATCGTGGTCGCGGATTGAACCACGGAATACAAAACAGGTCTTATCGACAGATGTGTGTGTGTGTCTACATACCTTGTTGTCTTCAATGAAGTGGGCAACCAACTTGTCCAAGAGACGCGAGAGCGACCGCGGCGGCGCGCAGTCCAAGCCGTACTTTGTGACCAGGGTCTCGAGCACTTGGATGCATTTCTCCGGCTCGTCCATGGGCAGTTTCGTGTTGGTTTCCTTTTCGATTTCCGCCACCATCGAAATGCGCTTGTACGGCGGCGTAAAGTCGATTTCAATCGTTTCGTCGTCCTTGACAATTTGAATCGTGCTGCCGCCCGTGATTTCCGTCACCTAACACAGTAAATCTAAGTACCTTTCGTTACAGGGAACACCAATCCAGGTCAAACAAAATAGACCTTAATGTTCAACCAACACACTTTGAATCATATGCAGGTCCAGGGCCAGCAAGCATACCAGTCCGTGTCGCACGTATATACATATCCCCCCGTCAAACAAAACAGACGTTAACACATACACGTATCACCATCATTCGATCTATCTCGCATATATATATATATATATATGATATACGTCTCCGTTCTATAGGCACACGCATTATCGTCCCACATATCCATTCCACACTTGGATATCTTTAGACACC